AGACTGGCATATTTGACAAGCCTTCCCATCTCCTTTCATTTTATGCTGTGACATGAAACTTAGGTGTTGCAATCAATACTTATCTGCTTTGCTCTAGACTGGTTTTTATACTGTGATTACCACTGTAAAAACTAAGCTCCTTTTTGAGCCAAAGTGGGTATCTTCAGAGTGTCAGGCGGAATTTGAGTGAATCTTCTCTTCTGTATTAGACTGCTTCGCCCTGCTGAGGCCATAGAAGCTGGATCAGGAATGAAATACCTGCAGTTTTTAAACACACATTTCACGCTGTCACTACTCTAGGAAAAGGGAATTCTTTGCAGCTCATCATGGTTATGCAGAAGCAGTAGAAACATCACTTGTTCAACCTTGACGCAAATCCTGTGGACATGAGTACAGCTTTGTGTCCCTGCTGCAGCCTCTCAGGGTGCCATGACATGCAGGTGCCGATGCCACAACACCTGCCACAGGCACTCGGGAAACCCCAGGGAGGTTTCAGCACTGATACCTTGTTGGGAAAGAGAAAAAGAATGAATGGGACTATTTCTGTTAGCTTGAGTGCAAGATCCCCAAGGCAGGTGTTCCCTTTCTTCTCTGTTTGCCTGCCAATGAGGGCAATGGGCTTGGTAGTGGAAGTCTCTGGGAATGCAAAGAACTCACAACAACTGTCCACATCCACATCACAAGCGACTACTCTTCAGGGCTTCTGACAACAGAGGTTTGATAGCAAGTATAAATATGTACATGAATCTTTTTCAGTCAACCAGGCATCTAGCATGCCTCTGAATAAGATGGAGAGATGAGAAATCGTAAATGATAAACCCTCTGGATTGTGATTTAAGCAGCTTAGAGGTTGGGGGAATTCATGCATTAGCCTGAAAAAGTGTCAGTCAAGAAAGACATGAAGTAAAAGTAAGGTGAGCTCAAAAGCTGGCATTGACTACCATCTGTAAACTATCTCACTGTGTTCTTTTCTTAACTGTGTAAGTTGTTTGGTATACAATCCAGGGAAAACAGAGCATCTCCTAATATCACTGACCATAGATGGGCAGGCTGTCCATGGCAGCCCACATGGAACCTGTCAGGATGATGAATGATACATGGTCCAGATCTGGGAGTTTGCCCAGGCTGTCTTGCAGCAGCTGGAAACTTGATTGGACTGCATTCAGTGAGGAACGAATGATCTACACCTTTGTGGGTCACAGGGCCTGGACATCATGAGTTAATATTAAGGCAAAGAAAGCGACAGGACAAGACCTGCTCCTTGCACAAAGTTACAGAAAGCAATCTGGGTTCTGCCCCTTTCAAGGGATGAGAGACCCATTCTCTCATCTCTTGAAATGAGACCAGAAAGACAAGAGCTATGCCCCAGTGAAACGCTGGCGACTGTTAAACGCATATCCTTTGTGTAGGAAACCATCTGTACTCATTCTCACTCTGCCCAACGCAATTCAGAGGGCTGCTACGGTCTTTTCCACGGCCTGCCATCACAAACCAGGATGCCAGCAGTCATAAGGCACGGCAGGCTTAACAAGCCTGCAGCTGAGTCCTGACTCGGAGAGGGAGTGACAGGGCTGTGGGCAGGGAGAAGCAGGGCCAGGGTTGGCACTACAGACCTGCGCTGCCGCAAGAGAGCTCTGCAGGCCGCAGCAGAGGAGCTAATGAAGCTGTTCGTCCTATTAAACTACCCACAACTATGACCAGGGTGCCCATGTCCTGCAGCATAATAACCTGTCAGATAACAAGGAAAGGGATCTGGCTGAATATCTCTTCTCTGCCTGCTCTGTCAAAAAAACAGTTAGTCAATCACCTGAAAAGGAATGGAGGAGGAGAGTAAAGACTCATGTTGTTCCAAGAAATGTCATTTCTGCTTTCATTACCAGAGACACTGCTTGGAAATAAAGGTGATCTGTATTGTCATTTGCCATGTGAATTATCATCTTCTCCCTTACCTCCCTTTCCCCAGACTCCAGAGCTACAATCAACAGCAATAGCTACACTTGAGCTGTTTAACAGGGAAAGGAGAGAGGGATTTCATATAGGTTGCTTCTGACTTTTGGACTTAGAGCTTATGAGATAGATGCCTGGTTCAACCACTCACTGAGGGACCAGGAAAGGAAGATGAAGCACTTCTGACAGGGAACTTTTAACTTCACAAATAGGCAAATAAGTGAGCTATAATCACTCCTGAGGCCCATCAGCTCTTAACTGAACTATCACACGCATCTCTACCTTCTTTGCATAAGTAACAACACTTTGCATTTGTATCTCTCTTCCATTTCACAGCCAACAAAAAGTAATTCATTTCTCTATCCTAACTCAGGTAATAAGCCAACAAACACTATTGATAAAGTCAACAAGTGAAAGAAAGAGCAGACAAATTTGCTAATAAACTCCTTGAGGAGAGTGCACAAAGTAATTTGGCCCTCTTGCCCCCAGTATGAGTTTAATTTCACAAACTGTCCACTTGAAACCTCCCACATGAGCTCAGAAACACTCATTCTTCCAGCTCTGTAGTCACGAGTTTAACTGCAAAAAGATCCATGGAGAGAGAGGCAGATTTGAAGCCCTTACAGTGATCTAAAATAGCTCCTAGATGCATAGCAGATGATTTCAAAACTAGCATAAATGGAGCCAAAATGCCTAACAGTTCTGGAAAAGGGAAATTCCAAGACAAGACAGATGTTTCTAATGGCAATAGCTTTGGGATAGATTTGGTATTTATATAAATTGTCAATCTCAAGGAAAATATTTGCATGAGGCCTCACATCCCTTATTTTGGGACAAGTACCTTACTGGTCTACATGGTACACAAAGCCACGACATCTGCTTTGAAGCAGTCCCTCTACAGGCATAAAGAGGTAGCAGATGGGTTATGATGGGGTAAGGAGAGAGAAAGGGAGAGCAGCAAGCAAGGAGATACAGTCGTGATAGACTGGAGACTACCTGCCCTTTATCCTGGGCTCTGGCTGGACAGGAAGAGGGTATCTGCTCGGCTCCACTGCAGGGACAGGTCTCAGAAGGAATCTGATGCACAGTGAGGTAGTGCTGATGGCGATAACCAAAAATGCCTCCAAGGCAGCAAGGACAGGAGGAAAAGCATGCATGTGTATGCTGGAGAACCAAAAAATTAGCCAGGGAAAACCAATCCTGGAACCAAAGCAGGGATGGCAGTCCTGTTGTGAACCAGAGAGGATTAGCTAGAGGGGAGTTTTGCTCTGAGGAGCCTTATAAATTGAGATAAAAAGGTTTGCGTCTAATACAATAGAGTAGGCAGTGCAATTGGAAATAAACAGAAAGCACAAGCATGCAGCCGAAGTGATGAGTCAGGACAGGAATCTTCACATTACCGTTCTCCACAATGCATCTGATGTATATGAAATATTAGCTTTCATGAAGATTTAATCTGGTATCCCTGTAATTCCCTTAACTCAAACAATGTTAGACTGAGCACACTGAACAGCTAGGAAATTACTCCCGCTTGAATACAAGAAAGAGTTAGGTGGAAGCGAGGACTGAAAGACTGATGCAGCAGTCAGATGGAAGATTCAGTAAAAAATAAATCTTAAAAAATTGCCTCTTGGAAGTTAGCAGATTGTGAATATATAACTTAATAAAAATGAAAAAAAAATAAGTCTCATTTCCCCACAGATCTCAATGGCACAGCCATGCTTAATACTGACAACAGCAGAAGAGGAAGGTCAGGTGCTAGATGATGGCACCACAAAAGATTGGTGTCCCTTTTTGGTACATCAGCTCTACTCCCTCTGCCTTTCCCTGGCAGTCCTTCTCTGTCTTCTCTTTTCCAACACTCCAAGAAATAGGCCAAAAATACAAGCTGCACAGCTGTCTTTCACATGAGAGCTTGGGAGGACTTTGGTTTGGCTGAATGGGTGAGACAGGAAACCTAAGTAGCCCAAATCGGCACCCCACATTCATGGATGCAGCTTCCGGATGCAGCACTTGGATTGAGCCTTGTTCCAATGTTGCTTTCTGCCCTTCTCCCTTTAGCCTGTTTCCTACAGCTCTCCACTCCTTTCTGGCTCTTCATTTGCTTGGTCAGCTTGGCTGTCTCCAGCACACAGAGGAAGCTTGTATTCTGCCTATCGCAATCTCTCTTTCACTGTACACATACGGAAGTATCACAGAACCTTATTTATACTGGGCTACCAAACGTTTTCCCCATCCATTTCGGATGAAACAATATCTCATAGCAAAAGCTAAAATATTTTTTCTCTAAAGGCCACGGTAGAAAAGAAGAAAAGGAACCTACCTCTTGCTTCCTTGCTACTAATAGACCTTTAAGGGTGGAACATCCTTGCAACTGCTAATCCCACAGAGTCAGAGTATTGAAAAGATGTTCTCTTTCAAGGTTTGCCACATTCTGGACCATGAAAAGTGCCGAAATGGGTTCTTTGTTAGCAGATAAATGCCAATGAATTCTCACTTTCTCTGTTTCTCCCTGCCCTTCCCTGATCTTGCAGGACAAATGCCTCCTTTGCCCATCTTGAAAAACACAGGAAGACTGTCTGCCAAAGGAGATGGTAACATGAAATCATCTGTGTTTATTTGCCTCCCCCTTTCAAGGCAAAGGAGGTAGAAGCAAATCCCCTGGTTTTGGAAAGATCCTATTCTGTGTAGTATTTAAACTCAAATCCTTTCCCCCTGGCAACAGCAGTGTTTTGCTTCACTCCAGAAGGGCTTTTTTCTCCATGTGCATTACTACCAGTAGAGATTCAGACTATTAAATGAAGCCCAAAGATAAATGGAATTACAGGTTCAATTCTGCAGAGCTTCTACTGATGTAATTTCAATTGTTCCTTGGGACAACTGGGTTATAGTCCCTGGGAGATCAGACTGTAAAGCATGTTGCGGTGCATTTAAATTCCTTATGACTTGTTTTACAGCTGTCTCAGTGGCTACTGAAATTCTCTCTGGATATTGGAAAATGAGACTACTGCACAGTTCATAAATCATCAACATAGCGCAGTTGGGTACTCTACCTGTTGGGGTGAGGTGCCTCCAGGTGATGACAGGCTCAGGACGCCCATTTGCCATGCAAACCAGGGTCACGTTGCTACCCTCATTCACGGTAATGTCCGAGGAGATATTGGAGATCTTTGGTGGAACTGCGAAGATAAAACAAATTTGAACTTCATTAGCCACAGTTGGGGAAGGGAAAGACACTGAACGTCTGTCAAGGCATCAAATACAGGATCCCGGCCTCTCCATAGTGAGGAAAATCAGTTCAAGTTCATCATTCTTCCAATGGCTCCGAAATATAAAGAATACAGAAAATTATAGCAAATAGTGCTTTGCTTTCAAGAGTGTGCACAGGGTGAAGCAGCCAGGAGGGGGAAAGGAAAATTAGAGCAGAGATACAAGCAAGGTCACAGCTGAGTCAGGAAGTATTGAGAAAACGTGGCCTTCTTGCCTCAGGAAGGCTGCCTGCATCGACTAAGGATAGCCCTCACACAGTGCCTCAAAAACCCAGCAGCGCTGACTGCTACAGGGACCCGTTAACAGGAAACCAGCGCGGTTCACATGAAACTCTCATGCTGGGGGCACCAAAATAGTATAATCAGAAAAGCATTCCTGGCTCATGCGTTTTCTAGTTAGTTTCTGTTCTTAATTTTCTTCTCTGGGAACCATCTCACAAGGGTTCCGCGGTTTCAAGGAACTACAGATAGAAACGACATTTGCTGCAACTGTGATGTTTTCTGCTTGGGAAGGTTTGGGCCCTCCATCAAAGAGCATGTCCGAGTGCCCTGAGGAAATCTGGAAGGAGTATGCAGGGACAGTGCACTGTCCCTCTTCTCCAAGTGAATTTTTACATTCCAAGTCATCCCAGATGCACTTCTATTACTCCAGCAGAGCGTCAGGCCTAGAGGCACAAACCAAACACACGGAGCACAGACTCAGGGGGTGTTCTCACGGTTGTTATCTCCCTCAAACACCTACATCCCATGCTGCTAGCAAGGGTCCTGTTCTGCTCAGGTAACCAAATGCTCACCAGGAAACGAACCAAAGAGTAGTGAAACTTATTTCTGTTGCCCACCCTGTGACCTGCTCAGAACCTGGGACTTGTGCCACGGCTGATGGAGCTATGCCACAAGGCACAGCAGAGAAAGCACAGTGGAGTCCTTAACAACTCACTTGGATGGACGTGTCTCACGTTTCCAAGACCCTTATAGACCCTCCATGGAGCTAACTTAGTTGTGTACTGTGGCCATCTGAGGGACTGAGCTGATCCTGCTGGGATCTGAACTTGTGACTCCAGGTACACAGTGTGTCTGATGTTTCAGCCTCTAAGCCCTCCCCTAAGGCAGAATAGGCTGTTCCAATCTTTCCTTTCTCACATTAATGTCTCGCTTCCATGCTTCATACTCCAGAGGAGGTGAGGGAGTTGGACTAAAAAGGAATCTTCTTTTATTTATTTATTTTATTTTCAGCTTTTGAATTTGTGTGTAGCGAGGAATGAAACAAGATCATTTTCTGCTTTGCTTACCACAGAGTAAACAGACAGAAAGCTCCCCTTCCCCCTTTCTGGCTGGCATGGCTGATGGACCTTCTGAGGCAAAGCTAGATGAGATAGGAAATGAAGCCTACAGAAGCAACTGTCTTCTACCTGTGCTGTTGTATTCACAGGAATACTGTTTATAACCCACAGCTCATTAGCCCTCTCTGTAGGCACCATGCTTATGGACAGGACTTTAGCATCCCTGAGCACCAGGACCCTTTTGGAGGAACAGGTGCTCCTGAGCAGGGACAGGATCTGGCTATCAAAGAGAGGCAAGAATGTCTGCCAGCAGGCTCACCAACCTAGCTGAGAAGGGATTTAAAATAGGTACGTTAGGAAAGGATTGTCATAATATGGAGAAAAGTGATAGCAGTGAAGGAGCTTTCACATTCCCTTGGAGAGCCAGCAGCTGGGGACACATCTCAAGCACCTATGCACAAATGCAGGCAGCATGGTGCATGAACAGGAGGAATTAGAACCACATGCAGATTTGCAGAGCTATGAACTCATTGTAATTACAGAGATGTGGTGGGATGGCTCACAGGACAGGCACACTGTGAGAGGTGGATAGAGTCTCTCAAGGAAAGTAAGGTTTGAAAGGCAACGAAGAGAGGTGCGCTCCATGCAAAGAGCAGCTGGGGCGCACAGAGCTCTGCCTTGGATGTGGCAAGAAGCCAGCTGGGAGCTTAAGGGTAAGGATGAGCAGCTACCACAGAGCTGCTCCCCATGGTCAGTGTCTGCTGCCAACCACCTGAATAAGAAGAGGGCCTAGATGAAGCTTGCTGCAGACAGACAGAAGAGACTTCACAATCCCCAAGGCACTTCAACCGCCCTGATATTTACTGGAAGGACTCCAGCAATCCAAGAGATTTATAAAGTGTGTTGATGACAATTTCTTGATGCAGGTGATCTACAAGCTCACAAAAAAAGGAAAGTGGCATGAAGATGTGAAGGTCACGGGAAGCCTTTGTCTGCAGTGACCATGAGCGACTGTAGAGTTTAAGATCCTGAGAGAAGTATGACAAACACTATAATCATATCCTTACAGTTCAGGAGAGGAGACCCCAACTTGTTCAGGGATCCTTTTGGAAAGATCCAATGGAAAAACTAGCCAAGAGAGCAGAGAGCTTGAGCTCTTCAAAACCAGCTTCCTCAAAGCACAAGAACAGGCCAGGTGACTGCATGCCAGGTGCTAAGAGAGCCAGAAAGTCTTTTTCCCCCCGTTACCTTTGACCTCTCTCATCTGTGAAAGGTCGTGGTGACTGGGGGAGATACCTTATGATGGAAAAAGAGGCTAATTTCACACCTATCACCAAAGCAAGGAGGAGGAACCAGAGAACTGCAGGCTGGTCCTCATTCCCTGAGAAAGTTATGGAACAAATCCTACTCAACGTAATTGCCAGGCACATGAGGACAAGAAGGTGTCAAAAAATAGCCAGCATGGCTTTACCAAGGACAAATCATGCCTGACTAACTTGATTGCTTCCTACAGCGTGATGATGGACTGTCATCACAGATACGATGAGTGCAGTGAGTGCAATATACCTTGACTTCAGCAAGAGCTTCGACACAGCATTCCTAGGATATAGTGTGGACAAGTGGATAATAGGTGGGTGAAATGAGTAATGGGCTGGAGAGTAGGGCTCAGAGGGTGGTGAACAGCAACACCAAGTCCTACTGGTTACTAGTGGCATCTCCTGGATTGACCCTGGAACTAAGACTGCACCTGGGTCCCCTTCCCTGGGGTGGAAGGAATTTCAGTGTAGGGATACCTGCCTCAGAAGCGTGTCCGTGTACATGGGAAGACATAGGAGGGATGGAACAGAGTAGAACAAGCATTGCTGGAGAACAGTGGTGTTGTCAGCAAATTTGATCCCATCATGTTGAGGCGTGCATGAGTTTCATGCCTTTAAGAGAGAAACATTTCCTACCTACTCCCCCTTTATCATACACCCATGCCTGGAGTTCAACACAGCAAATACCTGACAGTACTAAAAAACAAACAAACACACACCAATCACACGGTGGCCTCAAAGTGAGTAAATACCCTTGGCCACTGATACCTCAAGACTGCACTTAAGGCAGCAGAACACCCCAACAAGCTGCAGGCTGAGACTGTTGCACCAATTTTGGTACAGAAATCCAGATTGCTACAGTTATTGCAGGGAACAAAGCAGCAGAGAGGGCCATACCAGTCACGTAACAGCACGGCATATAGCCCTTGCAGGGCAACGTGCCTCAGAGCTGCAGCCAAATGTGCTGGAGAAGACAGAGGCTCGCAGGCTTAGCCTGGGGAAGGAGCTGATGCTTCTGCGAGACTTCTGTCCCGGCTGCTGCATCAGAGGACATGAGGACAGAGGCTTAACAGTGCCTTCAGCACAGCCCCTCTGCAGCATGCTGGCGAACATGGGCAAGGCTTACAAACACGCATAAGAATCCTACAGAGGCAGGAGGATTTAAGCCGGTGATTATACCACACGTTTAGGTGACTTTACCCTAACCTCAAGGAAATAGCACTTGCATCAAGGGGAAAAAAATAAACAAAAAAAAAAAACATATAACAAAACAACAAAAACCATGTTCCGGACTAAGTGAAAGTAGGACTAACAGATGGAGCTGTAGGTCAGTTGGAGGCTCTGGCAGAGCTACGCGATGCCAGACGGAGAGTGGAGCAGAGAAGAGCAAAAACCATTTCTGGGGATCAGCAGCAGAGCTGCTGTTAGGACACGTGCACCCTGCCACTTTCCAGAGCCGTCAAGTCATTTTAGTTTGCAGAGCATCAAGTAAACTCAGCAAATACAAACAGATCTGACCATGCAGACCAAATGCCCAAGAGGAGGAAGATGTGACCAGATGGCCATATCTGGCCTGCCACTTTTTCAGATGAGGGAGAAAAGGGCATCCAAGGCTGACATCCTGTTGGGGTATAATGGTTGGTTCCTTTCAGCTGCCATCCTGGTCAGAGGGCAAGGAAGGTTTGAAAGGAAGGGGAACCGAGCAGCAAATAATTTCACTGTGAATTTAAAACATGGTTGTGTCCACTTCGAATGCAGAGACAGCCTGTGTTAAAAATGACTGCATTTTAGTGGACAGTAATTTCACTCAGATAAAGAAAAAGGCAAAGACTTTTAATTTTCAGGGTGTCAAGCCAGTGTGTTAAAATGCCAAACCTGTCAGCACCAGCACCAGTTAGCTTTTCCTCCTTGGCACCTGTTGTTACTTTGCATACACCTTTTTAGGACAGCCTCAGAATGAGAAGCTTTGACCTTGTTTTTTTTTTTCCCATGTGTGTGTTATGTTCTCACAGCTCCCAGGCTGCTAGAAGTGGGACTGCTGAGAAGAATCTCTTGGCCCCAGCAACCTTGGGGTGTCACAGGCCCCCTTTGGTGGACACCACCTCTTGGTGACTCACCTGAGAAACTCTGCACATCTCACCTCTCTGGCCACTTAGCACAGGCAGAATTACCACACACTGGAGACCCAAGGTATGAGGGTGACTACAGGTAAACTGAGTTATTAGGAAGACTGAGGAATTTTCATATTCTAAAAGCTTTTCCTTCCAGAGGCAACCAGGGTGCCACCGGAGCCTTCTGGTTTCAGCAACCTTGG